TGGTAAGATTGGCACCAAAAATACCCTCTTTGCGGCTGTCTGATCGCAGATTACTTCGAAATCTGTTTCAGAAAACTGCAATTACCACCAATGATTTGATGCGTATTTACACTTTCATGCTGAAACTTGTAATCGATTTAAAGCCAATTAGATTTGTCATACATTTGCCCTTGAATTCTTTACCAAACTTGCTCCGGCGAGATATCAGGATGCAAAAATGTTTTATAAGAATGAAAAGTGAATATCACAGTTTTAAACACCTAACAACAAAAGACCACCTGTTGACTGCTGCAATTTGCTTGGCTTATCGGCAACATATTCATTTATTATTCCCTTTGTAAACATCCATTCTCAAGTGACATGACGGTGATGGCTCAATGTTATTCAAATCGAGCGCTCGCCGGTCACTGTTATTATTCTTTTAGTTGGCAGTGAGTGTCAGTACGAGCGCGGTTTGTGGACGTGAAGCACTTGAAAAGTACGGATGCCCAGATATTGCAATATCTGAGATCCGTTACGGGGAATTGACGGAGCGCGATCGACGGAAGATTTTAAAAGGTTCTTAAAATAGAATCAGAGCTGTGACCCTGAAGTATCACGCCATCTCGTTACTCATTTGATGCAATCGAGGCTGATGACTAACTGAGAGCTGTGGTTGCAAAGAAAATCGACTGAAAAGACTTGAAATTGACGAAACCTCAAGCATAGTGCATGATGCAGAGGTAAGTTTTCGAAACTGCTGTGATTGCGGATGAGTCTTTTTGTATGATTATTGCGCTTCGTTTTCTTTTTCTTGAGACGCTACTCGCTAAGGAATTCGCTTACGATCATTAGGAGATATGAAACATGTTTGAGACTCACAACAGTGTAACTAATTTTTTCGATCGCTGGAACGGTTCATAGGAAATTTTGCCTTCTTTTGTGCTTTCGTTTCGACAGGTTATAATGCGTACGACGAGAAATTTCCTGTGCGGCAAATATGTCATCATGTTTTCTACAAAATTTATGTGCAGGCCATTCTCGCCAGACTGTTTCATTACATGCTACGAAACCAGCACAGTTGATCGAGAATTTGTCAGGGCTTAGAAGAAAATCGTATTTATGTAATCTAAGAATAATTTAATTCTTTCCGGAGAAGCGGTCGATTTTGTTTTCATCTTGTCTTACTGATCCATCTACCGTGACACGGCGACTGAATTTTCCCACGGCAATATTAGGCTAATCAACTGACATTTACAATAAATTCCTCGCAGTCTTTGCTATGAACCCGCGAATTAGCATTTCTTTGTCAAAGTGTTAAATTTGCCGTCTTCTCTGCCATTTCCGGGCCATTTTCGGTTCACGAGTTTGGGTTATCGGAACTCTTTATTGTCATAAATTGCAACGCTAGAATGAACAACGTGCGACTTTCCCGATAAGTGGTGTTTGGTAACATTACCAGGCCAAACACAACATATATCAAAGGATTACGGAGTAATTTTTTTGCATCAGAGCGTAAACCTCCAAGACCCACAGTAATGTTAAGATGGCGGGCTGTCTATGTAGATCACTCACGTATATTGAGTATATTATCTCCGCACATGGAATAAATTTTAGTCTAAAATATACCACCCTGATTGTTTGATTACATATATTGTCGATTTCCATCGAAAATGGCTCCTGGAAACAAAGGCAAAATTCTTAATTACATTACCTCATTATAGATTGTTATCACAGTGTTCCTCAATAGGCTTTTATTGCTAATAGAGTCGCTTTTCTGTCTTTGTTGTGAAAATTAAACAATACCCTATAAGATCGGCGGAATATTTCTCGAAACAGCATGGTAACTGGTTTGACTGAACACGTGGTTTACCTTGACCTCGTGTCATGTTTTCAAAATTGATGGAATTCAGTTCACGATTAAACCGCTAATCTGAAATTCAACAGATTCAAGAGATTTTCGAAAAATTTCTAGTGATCACTCCCAAACTAAACACCAACGCGCACAACGAAATTACAGCGTTTTAAAAATATCGTCAATGAACTTCTCTTGTACAACTCAACTTATTAGGAAGAACTTTTTGCTTTGTTTCTTCTCGTTGAGTTTTAGTATGCACTGATATATCAGTCTTCACAAACGCTTTGACTTTATTGCTTGAGTATTGACGTACAAATTACACTCCACAGCGGCCACGGTTAAGCGATATTCAATTGGCTTTAAATAATCTTCTTTGTGCTTGTGCGGCCCGTTTTTGACCAATTTAAGGTTTTTTTGAAGGTAGGTAACCATTTATATTTCAAAACTAGTTGACAAAGAACTTCTGCTTGCAACATTAAACGATTATCAACCAGATAGGCTTAGGGAATAGAAAAAAATATCTGCTAAGTGATACTTCAAATTATCTTAACGAACACACAATAAAATACATAAAAACTTATGATTCGAACAGATATGGGGAGTTGAAGGTCAAAGAGGTTTTTAGATATAAACAAGCTGATTAGGGGAATGTGGCCATGTTTGACCTGTCAGGTTTTCGATCTCTCTCGATGGGTTAAATGGGGTATAAAAAGGATGAGGAATTATGAAGATTTTCCTATTACTATAATAGGATTGATGTCTCATTCCACAATTTTATTACGTGCATATACACTTCACCGCCCGGAAATAAGTTTAATATGCTTCGGTTATAACTAGCCTTAACTGTTGGGAAAATTTGACGAAATGCTGGAAGGAAACTTGCGACTGAGTAACCAAATATTTCATGATATAACTGATCATGGTTTATTTGGTTCCATGATAAATCGTCTCCATCAAGTATTTGATTGTGCAGACTTATCTCTAAACCAAGAACCTTCAACATAGATACTTGTTCAAATTGGATTAAAAACTTCGTTAGCCAAGAATACCCGTTTCTAAATCACTTTTTACATGCAATGTGCGAGTAAAGTAGAGTTATTTTAGTGCTCAGTGAGGGGCATTTGACTCTCTGATAAATTCACAAAGCCGGAAGTTTAGTCACGTTAAGTGCCGGGTTTTCCCGAAAACCGCTTTTAGAAAAGTGGTAGGCTGCAAGCACGATTAGGCTAGTCTCGAACCTAGACCTTTCACGGCCCACGGCCATGCGGTTGTTTCAGTTGTACCGTTGTACTTATGTCCCCTTATTTTAGGTATGTCCTCTGACGTAATGTGATACAGTGGCCAATCATATCTTGTGATCT